AAAAAAAAAAAAAAAAATTTACCTTGTTGGAGAAGAATCCTTTGCCGAGGCCGTAGGATTTTTTCGACATTTTTTTGGATTTATTTTTATGCTCGAATCGTTCGTTGAAGTTCGGAAATTTAGAGAGATAGAAAGTTTAGAGAGATAGAAAGTTTAGAGAGATGAAATCCAAAAAAAGGTTAAGGGCAAAAGAGTAAATGGGGGGGGGAGGGTGACTAGTAAAAAGGGGGCGGTGAATAGCGATTGAGTATTGTTAGGTATTGGTTATACATTTGATTCTTTCCCTTCCCGAAAAGAAAACCCCAATTCCTCAAACCCCCATTTTGCTACTTCGTCTGTGCTGCCTCCTCACCACTGCCGGGCTTTCCACTTTGATGCGAAGATGACCGACGCCTGCGCGAATTTCTTTTTCCTCCTGTTTTTTATTCCAATTCCCGACTTGGAGTTGTCCTCTCAACGGGCGGCTTTAGCAGGCTCTGCTGACGATTGGCGGGCGATTTCGTTTTCGCGAGCGTTGTTTGCCGCCTACTCGGTGGCAAGTACGCTAGAGCTGTTGTTACCTCCCGTGAATTTTGTCTTTTCTCTAGGGATGGGAAGGATGGTCTCCTTTGGCGGGGCCCTGTTTCTCTTTCGATAAAAGTGGGTCGGGCTCGCCGGTGTTGTGTGTGGGGAGGGGATGGTAATCGGTCTTCACGGGTTTGTTGTCGGGTGATGTTAACTGAGAAGGCTTTGGATTGTTGGCTCGGATCTAGTTAGCCCTTAGCCGTTACTCTGGAGTGGGGGGTTTCTAGGTCTTTGTCCAAGGTCGTCGTCTTATCTTTGTTGGTGATCGTCTCCGAGTGTCTTCTTCATACGTTGGAGTTTGAATCCAGTTTTCTCTATTGAACTAGAAATGTGAAAGTCCTTGTTTGCCGGAGTCAGATCACAATTTGATTGTCATGACAGTTGGTGCAGTTGCAAACACAAAAGGAATCACAAGTTCATAAGGCAAGTAAGCACATAGAGCAAGTACGACCTAGCGCGAGAAATTGCAAAGGGGTAGAATTTTGTCGCCTACTTACATCAGGAGACTACCAGGGAGATCTTTTTGAAATTGGCATTCGAGCGAAAGTTGTTGATGGCCATGATAAGGGATTAGGGAGTCGGGTGTATGGCAGTTAGGACAATAGTTTTTTGAGAATTGAGATAGAAGGAAGTATACTGAAAAAAGCGGAAGCTTTAATTATAAGTGAGAGATTCTTGGTGTATATACTGAAAGCTTGGCTTTAGATGTGTTTACACTGAACCCGTTTGGATGAGAATCGTGTTTAACTAAACAAGTATATGTTCTGTTGTTTTGCACTAGATAGAATGGGTCATCATCGGGTGAACAGAAGATCATTCTATCAGTTACTTGCGAAACAAGAATCGTTGGTTCACAGCCTAGATGGAAATGAACAACCCATCGTGAACGGTTGTAGTGTTAACCGTACAGTTGGTCTTGACTGATTAGTTACACTAGTACACTTTGTGTATTGAACGGATCCCAGAGAGGAGAAGTTAGTTTTATACTGAACATCGTAAACGAACTCGGTTAATTACTACGTACTCTTAACCCATAAGATATAAACAGGCATGTGCATGTAGTAAATATTACTTTGATTCACTTGGGTGAGATTCAGTTTACTGGATCAATATACTTACTGTTTTGGGTAATATTATTGTATGTATGATGTGCTGTTAGAATATTTACAGCCACCGTGTGCGATAGTTTGATGATGTCCCTGAGATGAACTCATGAAGGATTATTATGTTAAATCTGGCCAGTGGAATTTAACATAATAATAATGTGATGAGCGGTACTAGTCTCGGTTATAGATGTCAATTAATTTAATTATCAGTAATTAAATTAATTGATGAACATTGTATCTTAAACACGGAGAGATAAATCAAGTAATTATTATTGGATCCTCGAATATAATTCGGGAATACTATTTGGGTTTGGTAGGCTTGGCCTATAGTCTAATATTGGAGAAACCCAATTTAATACCTCCTTAGGGTCCCTGTTGTAGCCTATAAATACTTCACATCTCTTGGGATTATGAGATAGATGAAACACGCCCCATACGTGAGAAAGACGCCGCCCCTTTTGCTCTCTTCTCTCTCTTGTGTTTTCTTTTTCTTCTCCAAGTAATCCCGTAGAGATATTTCTGATTTCATCGCCCATCAAGATGATCAGAGTAGATGTCAGGTCATACAACACAAGATCTGAGGTAGTCGAGCGATTTATATATATTTATCCAACACCGTAAAATATATATATTCAACCCTGTAATTTATCTGTAATTCGCGGGGTTGTCCGTTCTTCGCGAAAAGGGATATTTATGTTTATCGGATGTATTGGAATTAATCGGCAATCATCTCACGTCGATCGGAGACNAGCCCGCGCGCGTAGCCCAGGGGAGAGTCCATCGCGGCCCAGACGTCCGCTCCAGGAGCCTGTATGGAAGAGCCCAGCATGCACACCCCAGATGATGCGGAGGCCCAAGCGCGAGAGGGCCTAATGCGAGGCGGCCTAGCGGATAGGAAGAAGAGTGCGGGAGCTGCGCAGCTCGCGTTTAGCCCGTGCACGGCCCGCTTCGCCTCTCAGCTCTGGCCCACGCGCGGCCCATCCTTAGCCCGCGCGCTCGTTACCCTTCCTCCAGCCCATCTTCGCTGCCCAAAGTCCAAGCAACGCAGCCCAGCTCATCCTAGCATGCGGCCCACCAGCGCCGGACGGTCCAGATCTCTCCAGATCGAGCCCAGCTCACTCCAGCTGGCCCAGGACGCGACCAGGAGGCCCAGACCGGGTTCGGGAATGGTCCAGCAGGTTCGGGGAGTGTCAGTGAGTTCACGGTGAGTCCGGGACAGTCCGATATAAATGTGGAATGATTCGATGAGTCTGCAAAATTAAAAACGGTACGCTTTGAACCCTCGTTTCTAGTTCCATTGTGCTTAGGGTTTAATTCGCAGATAGTCCGTGACTTGCATATTATCGAGATCCTCACAGATCCCAACACACCAGCTCCAACGCCTTAATAATGGTGCACTGTGACTTCGAACACTTGCTCAACCCAACTCTAGGATTGTTCAAAACAAGTGACCACTCCGCTCTAATGCCTTAATCATGGTGGATTTTGATTTCAAACACTTGCCCAACCCAACTCTAGGATTGTTCAAAACAAGTGACCACCCAACTCTAATGCCTTAATCATGGTGGATTGTGACTTTGAACACTTGCCCAACCCAACTCTAGGATTGTTCAAAACAAGAGACCACCCAACTTTAATGCCTTAATCATGGTGGATTTTGAGATGACCGACTTCGTAGTCATCTTCAGTTTCGTAGCTATTTTAGAAAGTTCAGCTTCGTAGCTGTTCGAGATTCCAACTTCGTATCTGCTCGAAAAATTTAAATAAGTCTCTCCTCGAGGCTTAGACTCCTTTAGACTTAGAGTTAAGTCTCTAGACAAGATGTAATATCCCAGTGCTCTAGGTCGGGGTGGTCTAGTTAAAGTAACTTGGTAGTCTCCTCTTCAAGTCATCTCCACTCCAAACCTTGGCCTAGTCTCAGTTAGTTGTATAAAGTCACAAAAGTCAGCCTTCGACCCAACTAAAGGTTTTCAGGTTGTCTTGGTAGCCTCTAGGTTATCCTTAGGTCATCCAGAGTCTCTCTAGGTCGTCCAGAGTGTCTCTAGGTCATCCAGAATGGTTCCCCGCCATCCCTAGGTTATCCAGAGTCTCTCTAGGTCGTCCAAAGTGTCTCTAGGTCGTCCAAAATGGTTTCAGATCCTTGGTGGCCTCAAATTCGTCTAGATTGATCCCAACTCGCCCTAGGTGTCTCTAATTTGTCTCTAGGTCGTCTAGAGTGTCTCTAGCTAATGTTTTCTCCTGATTTCTTTGCCCTTCACCAAATGCCATTGGCGAGGGTCTACTGCTCCGCGTTTCAGAAAATAAATGGCTTTTTCCCTTTCCAGGCTGAAGGTAGCTCTTCCATACGCACTCTTGGCGGCGCGTGAGAATGAAACGGTGGCAACCCCTTTACAGAGATAAAAAACGTAAGGCTGAGAATCACCAGAGGTTTCCTTCCTCTTCAAATCCCTCACAACTCCTCACTCAAATTCTTCTACACACTTTCTTTCTCAGCCATAGTTCCTTCAAGAGCTCCCCACAGATGGCGCTAAATGATGGGTCTTCTTCTAGATATGGAGTAAACCAGATGAGATGAGCTCCGATCTGTCTGAACCGCCTCTAGACCGCCGTGAATACCAGCAAGAATCCAACGCCAAAGGGGTTGCCGGCGAAGGGCCTCCGACGCTCAAGTCAGTAAATGGAAGAGAGGAAGATGGAAGCTCTGTAATCTAGAGCTGTAATGTATGTAGAAGTATGTAGAATGTGGGAGACAGAGTTAGGGTTGTACCTCAGTCCCCTTTTATAGGAGAAATACATGGCTAGAAATACCTTCCCGAATTTCTCGGACTGCCCCGGTCAGACTGCCCATACTTCCACGAGATTTGATCTTATCTGTATCTTAGTCACATCTGAGTCACCATCAGATTCCTTCTTATCCATTTACTGCCTCTAGATCATGCTCTTCCAGTCCCAGGGACCTCTAATAGCGGAGACCTCTAGTCGCAGAGACCTCAAGTAGCAGTGACCTCTAGTCATAGAGACCTCTAGTCACAGAGACATCTAGTAGCGGAGACCTCTAGTCACAGAGACCTCTAATAGCGGAGACCTCTAGTCACAAAGACCTCTAGTAGAAGAGACCTCTAGTCACAGAGATCTCTAGTCGCAGAGACCTCTATCTCCTCTTTTAACAATTCGAGACGAGATGACCTCTAGTAGGTCGAGACGAGATGACCTCTAGCAGGTCGAGATGAGATTACCTCTAGCATGTTGAGATAACCTCTAGCAGGTCGAGATGACTTCTAGCAGGTCGAGATGACCTCTACTTAGTCTCTTTAGAGCACCTCTATTTCCCCATATTTAGTTGTGGGGACCTTATCATATTTTCTCACATAGAGCACCTCATACTTAGTCAATGAGAGCACCTCTACCTTCCCATACTTAGTCGTGGGGGCTTCTTCGCAGTCTCCGGTTCACAAGTAGGGCAATATCTGTCTCCCTATTTATTGCTCGATTTATATCCCCGTATTTAAGATTTAACGTCCGTTGATTAATTAAATTACTGACAATATAATTAATCAACTTCTCAAATTCGAAATTAGTACAACTCAATTCTTTATTACTATGTCAAAAATATTTTCGTCGGCCGAGCTTGACATAATAATCCTTCTTCAGCTCATTTCGAGGACATCATCAACCCAATCATTTTTAGGATACGGTGACCGTATACAATATCAACGATACATCATGCTGTCGACATTACTTACCAAAATATTGATTACGCTGCCTACAGGAATAAGTCTTACCCATGATAAATCAAATAAGTAAGTGCTGACTATATATTCCCATTCATTGTCTTACGTGTTAAGAATATGCAGCAAATAATAAGGTCTAGATTTTTTACTTGGTCAGTATAAAATAGTCTTATCATCTTGTGGGTTCGTTCAATACATCCGGGATGTACTAGTGTAATCCATTAGTCTAAGATCAACTAACCCAAGATTCCCACTACAGACTTTCACGACAGAGAGTTCAGTTCCCTTCTGGACTATGAACCATTATTTATATTTTACAAGGAACCGATAATATGATCTTATTATTCCAGACCTAGAACTATATTATCTACAATATAAAATTCAGAACTACGTTATAGTAGATGCAATGCAGTCGTGGTATTCTCTGTTTTAAAGCCAACTTGACTAAAAGCACACATCTCATTCAGAATAGAATTGTTGAGTAACACAAAGTCGAGCTTTTACATTATACTCCAACAGACTTTTCAACTTTTAAATTATTACAAACCCTTAAAAATAAAAGAAAAGGATAAATAGTAAATTATTATTAAATTATATTTTTATATTAATATATTTTTTTGTAATTTATATGATTGATCATTATCGTCCACGAGCTCCACACTAGTTCATAAAAAGAGCTGAAACCAATCAAAGAGATAAATCTGGAGCTTGAACAACGTCGTTTAAGAAAATGAGGCTCTCAAAATTGTGCCACGTGACAGAAGAAAATGGCCTCGATTGTTAATCTGATAAAATTAATCGGAACAACGCATTCGGACAAAACCGAAAAATAACCGAAAATTTATAAACTAAAAGATCAAAAAATAACCGAGTCCGATAAAAACCAAACCAAAATTTTCAATTCGATCTCTCTAAGTCGATTTTTCCGGTTTTAGTAAAATTATGCACAAGCTGTTGCATCCCCTATCTTTTGACCGGTGAAAAGAAATTTTCATTTTTCACATAATTTGATTTGTTGTCGTTAGGCATAGCCATCCACTCCAAGAGGACCAAGAAGTTGCTTGCCGGTGTGAAATTTCTCCCTCTCTCTCTCTCTCTCTCTGGTGACCTCCGAAATCCAGTTTCAAAGCGTCATGGCTGGTGACCTATTTCGAGATTTGCCGGCCCCAACTGAAAGTCAAGAGGCTTCGACTCCTCAGGACTCGCGCCCATTACCTCCGCCTCCTGCTTCTGCACTAAAGACCGCTCTCAAACGTCCCAGCTCACACCCTCAAGGTACTTTGCGGCTTTGCCCACCGAAATTAGCTTTTTTT